AATGTTACATTGTAACCAGAGTTAAGAAAAGTTTATCATTTCACCAATGATTTGTTTTACTAACTGAAACGAAATTTTAGATAATTGTGCAGAGAAAAATCTTTAGTTACTGTTATCTTCCATTATATTATAGTTTAATGGGTTTTTTAAATAAATAAGGTAACTACATTATAGTTAATTTGGTAATTTTAAAGCAGCACTAGTATGTGCTGCTTTAGAAATGAAGGGAATAGTTCTCAAAGATATCAAGTAACTGTCCCTAGATGGCGTTTTCCCTATCTCAGCAGTTTTTTTGCTTCCAAACCACAATTTGCAATTTATCCATTTGTCTTTAATTTTGTTATTGGCCCGCATTTCCTCAGCACCATTTAGTCTCCTTGAAGGCAGAAACTATTTTTGCCCCAGCATTTAGTATGTACTAAAATATATTTTAAAATGTTAATAATAATGGTGTTCAGAAAAGAAGATTTATTAAGCATTTATTATGGGCAATGATAGTAATACTAAATATTCTGAATGTCACCATGTCATGCAAATCAGGATGATGTATGAAAGTGATTGATATATGATTTGATTTTCCTTTTAAAACGTATTTCAAGATATGCAAGCATGGCCCTGACCGATGTGGCCCACTAGTTACGAGTACCAGGCCATGCACCAAAGGGTCTCGGGTTTGATTCCCGGTCAAGGGCAAATACCTGGGTTGCAGGTTCGATCCCCAGCCCAGGTTGGCACGTGTGGGAGGCAAACAATCCATGTGTCTTTCTCACATTGATGTTTCTCTCTCTCCCTCCATCCCTCCCACTCTTACTAAAATTAATGGCAAAATACCTTCGAGTGAAGATTAACAAATATATATATATATATGAAATATGCCAGTGTTTGTTCTCTCTAAGTGAAATATACATCTTATATGTTCCCCACTCCCCATCACTCCACCATCACCTGTTCTCCTTTATCGCCACCATCAAGGAAGGAAACTGAAGAGCAGGCTGCTAGTGCAGAAGCTGGCAGGAAGATCACCTAGTTTTCATTTTTTCTTTTCTAAATCATCTGTAGACTGTGTCCTGATTTAATACCCACTGATAGTTCTTCATATGTGTTCACTCAGTCTTCCAAATACTACTTTGAAGGTATTTTATAATCAAATAGCTAGAAAATGTCCCTTACCAGCTTCAAAAGAATATCTAATTACAGAATGTACAAATGGGGTCCTCTCTCAGGGATGCTCACATTTACAGTATTTAGAAATGATTTTAGATTTATACTTTAATTGCAAAAATAATAGAGTGCTATATATTTCACCCAGCCTTGCCTAATGTTACCTTCTTTTGTAAAAGAAAAATTTTTTTTAAGTATATTTTTATTGATTTCAGAGAGGAAGGAAGAGGAAGAGAGAGACAGAAACATCCATGAGAGAGAATCATGGTGGATCGGCTGCCTCCTGCAAGTCCCCCACTGGGGATCGAGCCCACAACCCCGGCATGTGCCCTTGACCGGAATCGAACCTGGGACCTTCCAGTTCGCAGGCCAACGCTCTATCCACTAAGGCAAACTGGCTAGGGCTTGAAATTTTTTTTGAAGTTTATTTTATTGTTGACAGTGTTACAGATGTCTCCCATTTCCCCCTCTAACATAAGCATGGTTCTCGTACTATTTCTGACCCCACCATACTGCCCCCTCTGGTCATTAGTGATGCTGAACACGCTGTGTGCCCCACCAGGTCCGCACTCCAGCCTTACATGCCAGGAAGGCTGGCCAAGATGTATTTCATCAGTGGGTTCCCTCTCCTTTCCCTTTTCTCTTCTGAGTGGGAGCAACCTAAGAAAGGAAACTGGAGGGCAGGGGGTTTATCCATACCCTCCACGCTATAGCTCTTTCTTTGCAGGAAGATCCCTTTACCCAAGTCCACAACAAAATCTCCGCTCACTGTATTCAGCTGCAACTCTTCTACCTGCTCCCAACCCCTCGCCCCTTCAGGCCCAGGAGTGGCAATAGCTCTCTGATGTCATTAGAACCGTCATTGTTCCATAAGCCTGCCCACACCTTTCAAACAACCCCTTTACTAAATTACCCTCAATACCCCCAATTGAGCGTGCAACCTGACTTTCTCCAGGGGCAAAGACTGACAACCTAACCAAAGTGATGTTACCTCGAAACTGACTTTCTCTAAGAAGGGAATATATCCTCCTACCCCCAACACACAAAGCAAAGGTTATTTTACATAAACGCTTTGACCAAGTGAAGTTCCAAATGATGCCACTCACAAGTCAAATTTCAAGAATCAAGGCCTGAAATTATTTCACACCTTTATCTTATTCAAGAGTCATGGAAAAAATTATAGCACAGCTCACAAGCTGCCGTTTATATATGAAAACAGCCCCGTGATCATTAACGGGGCTTGAGCAGGAACCGGGTCCTACAGCATGTGGAGGGGCAGAAGTTTGTGCTGACCTGCCAACCGCTCAATCACTTGACTTGATTCCCAGAAACGGTCGTTTCAGCTAGAGGAAAAGGGTCTCTCTAGTCAGGAATTTGAGATCCCTATCAGTAATTTATAATTTTGTGTTGCAGTAGAACGAATATAGGTCATGGATACAGGTTGTTCAAAGATGAGAGGTGTGAGACACACCAAGAAATGTCAGCCCCCACAACTAGTCTGTGTTTATGAGTTAGCAGGTTCAGAGTTGGCTAGGACAAGCTTCAATTCTATACCCAGTTTCCTTAATCAGACTCTTTATTATCCAACTACTTCCTCATACATGATGAGGATGAAAGTTGGTCAAGGTACCTACAGCATCTACCCTAACAAAGAACAGAGGACCCAGGATATTTGAACATCTAAGAGGCCAGAGTCAAAGGAAGCAGACTAGTTCTCTGGCACAATGCCAAAGGCGAAGAGAGACTTACGAAAGGAGACCAGTTGTCACCTGTAGGTCCTATCATTGATCTCCTGGGTACAGCCAGCTGGTTATTAAGTCTGTATCCATAAAAACTTAAATTGAAGGTTGTACCCCCCTTCTCCCCCCCCCGACCCCAATGTGGAATTCGTTTTGCTAACATCTCCCTTCAGGGTTTTATAATATTCTACATTTGCTCTCACTGTATTTTACACAACCAAGCTAAAATATCAAAGTATTTTAGCATTTCTTCTATGAAGCAGAGAAAGTTTTCTTAAAATATCAAAAAATATGTGTCAATAGAATAGTAGATAAAATATTTGAAAATGCCAACATCAGAAAAAAAAATTTTTTTTTTTCCCTTTTAGAGCATTTCCCTACTCTTGTACAATAATTGATAACTACAGAGGAGAGTGAGCGAGAATTCAGTTCTGTTGTGGCACATGAAATTCAACCACCCAAAGGCACTTATTTTTCAAAAAGTCAGAGTCCACTGCCATTATTCAAAAAAAGCAACACACAGTATATTTATTTCTGAAATTTATTTCAGGCGACAGGACACCCACACACTGACAAAACAAACACAGAATTAAATAGTACTACCATACCCCAAGTCTACTTCCTAGCAAACGTGGGTAACTTAAGCTACCAAGCTTAGTCTGTATTAGTTTGTCCATATAGTTTCTCCCTTTATCCTATGGCCTCACCCCTGCCTCCCACAAATTTCAAAGCCATTTATTAACAGTAGGACTAAAACTATTTCTCCCTTGAAGATTTTAAGACAAAACACCTAAGTAGGGCTTTTCATTATGTACTTATATAGTTGGGGTGGGTGGATCAATATGCAGGGGTAAAAAATTAAAAAAACACACAGAAGAGGGTTTAATTTGAAAATAACCAGTATTCTACTTGTCCAGGCCAATTGAGAATTTGTGCCAAGCAATCTCATTCATTCATCATGCCTAGCACACAGGTGACTGTATGGTAAGTATTAAATAAAGACTTGTTGGTTGATGAAAAATGTACGTGGCAAAGCTGTGTACACACAGGAAACAGAAAGTCGAGGTGATCAGACAAAATTAGAAAGCAATGCAAGATGTGGTTCTCCGTGCCAATAACATGTTCAAGATGCACACTGGGAAACGAGTGAAATGAAAATCTGCCATACTCATAGTTCAACATGCTGTTCCTCTTTGAATGCTAAAACTTCATTTGTAAAAGAAAAGCTATGATCAGGTTAAATGCTTAACATTATAGGTGCACAATATAATTTTAAAGACTAGCAGCTTTATTGCTTAATGTCTTCTTGAATGAAAAAGGTTGCTTACATTTATAATAGCAATATACAGCTTGAAGTGGAACCTTTAACACTTCTTTGCTAGACTGAAGCTAGCCTCCAACTTTTAGCAATGCCCTATGCTTTTAAATTAACCCTTTTAAATGCTGTACAAAGCTCATAACAGGAATTGCTAGCTTATACCGTCTTAATTCACTAAGTACTCATTAGGTAAACTACTGAAAATAAAGAAAACATGCATATTCCTACAGCACTATGAATGTCAAAATTAAAGATGATATAATGATAATTTAGGATTAAGCAAGTATAATTTGGCTGTAAGATCTCAATGGCTTACACATTTTCAGCTGAACTGAAATCTCTAAGGATCTTTTCCTTTGGAAAGAAAAATCACACACTTTAAAATAGTATCTAATGGAAAGTCTAATAAAATCATAATGGATCATAGCTGTCAACTTCAAAGAGTGTCTTTCTTCTTAAGAGCTTAAGTTGACACTCTGGTGAAACACCACAAATGCAGATGCTACCAAGGCAGCTACAAAGAGAAAAATTTTATTCACAACACTTTGCATATAAACTTTTCCTTCTGCAGATCTGTGTGGAGTTGAAAATAAAGGATGCTAATATGCACATTATGCAGCACATCAAAAAAAAGAGAAAACACTTTACTGGAGTGAAAATTCATTTACTGAAAATCTGGGGAAATTCACATCCCCTGTACTGCAAATTTACCCCTAAGTGACAGAAAAATACTATATGAAATGGAAAAAAAAACTGATATGATTTAATCAATAGCTGATTACCTTTAAAACTTTGGGCTTCTTTTCCCTCTTGGGCCTCTTGTTTTCCTTTATAACCTAAAAAAAATAAAAATAAAAAAATAAATTGCAAAATGAGCCTCCATTTAAGGAAAAAAAAAAAATTAACTCTCACCCCCCAAAATTATTTTGGCTATTTCTCTATAAAACTACTTATACCCTTTCAAAGCATCAACATGTTTGCTAAGCAGAATCTCAAGAGCTTATGTAAAATGTATACTTTAAAAGTCACTGAAAAAAAAAAAAAAGCCTCGCAGAAAGATGAAGTAGGGAAATACCCTTTCTTCCCCTTAAAGTCTGTCTTAATTAGCCTCTGCATTCTTCACAGCGAAGCCCACGAGGTAGCCATCTTGCTTGCTTCTGCAGAGGAAGCCTCTACAGTGGAACAGTTCTGCAAACTGCTTTTTGGTATTATTATCATGGTGTTTCAAGGCAGCCCTGGCCTGCCAGCACTGTAGACGTGCTGGGCATGCCTTTTGCAAAAACAGCCCCACAAAGAGTGCAGCCAATGGCAATGCAGAGCTTAGCAACTCCAAAGTGATCCTCTCTGCCTAGCCTTCCCAGACAAAGGATCTCCTGTGCGGGTCGGCTCTCACCACAGGACACAGGCAGCCACAAGCTGCGACATGGAGTTCGCTGCGGAGGATCTGGTCGCGGGGAATTCACGGGAGGCTTCGGCAAAAACAATGCACACCAATCCCCCAGGTCTCCGCCATCGGATCGATGGCTGGCCGAGTCTCCCTGATGAGTAACCCCTGGGTGGCTCTGAGGGCAGGTCTGCGGTGGGGAGGGGGCGGAGGGGGAAGCCGCGCCGCCCTGCCTCCAACATACAGAAGATATAGCTGAGCTGAGGACGGGGTGGGGGGCAGCTGGGCTTGCTGAAACTCTGGAAGGTATTGTGCATTTTTACTTTATAAGGCAAGGCTAAATATTGGCGATATTTAAGGCAGGAGGTTATGTGAGGACAGTGTAGGCTCAGCTGTTGGGCTGCGTGTCTCATTCCTCCGGAACCACACCTCTCTGCAGCAGGCGCTTTGCCCAGAAACACAGCAATTTGATTTCTGTCAATAAATGTCCAATGACAAAGACAGATTAAAAAAAAATAATAAAGCCACTTAAAAGGAAAAGGACAGGATGAGGAGGGGGGGGGGGGGGGGGGAGTTTTCAAAATACACTTGCCACTCTGTGTGGCTGGAGAGAAAAGATTTATCTCTTGCTCTGGACATTTCTGGTGACCTTCATTTCCCCAAAGAAATCTCTCCCTCAACTGTCACTAAGCACCCCCCTCCGTCCCCCCCACCCCCAGCCTTTCCGAACTCCAGGCTGATGGACAGGGAGCTCCCCACTTCCCAGGGATTGAGACCTGAGCCAGAGGTGGTACAAGGAGCCACCAACACACACACCTGAGCTGCCCCCATGCCCAGTGGGTGGTAGGTACTGGGAGAGCTGGAACCATAGTTGGAACTTGCCAGATCCTGTCAATGGCAGAGCCAGAGGAGTTTAGCTCTGGCCATGCAATAGTGGCAATCGAGCAAGAACCAGTACAGCTGCTGTGAGCGGGCAAGTCTCAAGGTCACGGCCAACATTCAGTGCAGAGGCTGGTTAGAGCCCCATCGCAGCCACCCAGCCTGGGGTCCATCCTCACGGGGCCCAACTCTCAGCAGCACATTCGGGGGATTGGCGGGAGGGCCTCCCTGGCTGCTCAGCCAGAGATGGTTTTCCACTTGCAGTTGGATTCGGAACAGATTCCCACAACCAGAAATGGGGAGGGCAAGAAGGCCTGTATTTCATCACCCTTGATTCCCAGCCTTTCGGTTTGCCACAAAAGCACGCTTTCTATGTTGGAATGGGAACTCCAACATGCATTGTCTTTCCATTTTAAACCACCTCTCCTTCACCCACCACCCTCAAAATATGTAACCAGTGTAAGAAGCAAGCCTGCTGGGAGCAAAACCAGTGGATCCTGACCTAATCACACCCACCAAAGCCACCTCAACCACACGAAGGAACTCTGTGGGGAATGAAGCAACGATGAAATAGGTAGAAAAACAGGATCAAACACAAGATTTAAGAATTGGTGCAAGATGTTTTCTTAAGCCCTAGCCAGCTTAGCACAGTGGATAGAGCGTCTGCCTGGTGCGTATTGAAGTGTCATGAGTTCGATTCCGGTCAAGGGCACATGCCTGGGTTGCGGGCTAGGTTCCCAATGAGAGGGCGTGCAGGAGGCAGGCAATCAATGATTCTCTCTCACCATTGATGAGATAGAAAATTTCTCTCCCTCTCCCTTCCTCTCTGAAATCAATAAAAACATATATTTTTTTCAAAAGATGCTTTCTTAAAAAAACAGGTGAAGCCCTAGCTGGTTTGGCTATTTAATGTTTTGGGTTTTGCGCTTTTTTTTTTTTAATACTCACCGGAGGTTATGTTTTTATTGATTTTGGAGAGACAGAGAGATAGAAACATCGAAAGGTTGCCTCTTGTTCTAACTGGCAGCCCAGGGGAGTCGAACCCACAAACTTGGTGCACGGGAAGACACTCTAACCAACTGAGCCACGCAGCCAGGGCAGCATGGCATTTTTAAGGTTGATCCAGGTTGTAAGATATATCAGAATTTCATTTCTTTTTAAGGCTGAATAATATTTCATTGTGTATATAAATTTTATTTATCACTTCTTTTGTTGATGTACATTTGGGTTGTCTCTACCTTTTGGCTATTGTAAATACCACTATGAAATGGGTGTACAAGTATCTATTTGAGGCCTAATTTCCCTGCTTTTGAGCAGATACCTGAAATGGAATTGCTGGATCATAATTCCGTTTAGCTTTTCCCAGAACTGACAAACCATTTTTTTTTTCTTTTTTAAAAATATTTTTTAATTGAGTTCAGAGAGGAAGGGAGAGGGAGCGAGAGATAGAAACATCATCAATGAGAGAATCGTTGATCAGCTGCCTTCTGCACAACCCCTACTAGGGATCAAGCCCGAAACCCTACAGTCTACAGGCCGAGGCTCTATCCACGGAGCCAAACCGGCTAGAACACAAACCATTTCCTATAGCAACTATACCATTACATTCCCACCAATAATGCATACAAGGACAAGCCCTGCATTTTTCTTTTTTGTAATCTTCACCTGAGAATTATTTTCCATTGATCATTTTATTTAGAGTGGAAGGGAGGGAAAGAGAGAAACATGGATGTGAGAGAGATCTGATTTTTGTCAATAAATGTCAAAATATTTAACATTGGTTGCCTTTCCCACGCCCTCCGGCCCAGGGCCAGGGACTGAGCCCACAATCGAGGTACGGGTCCTTGACCAGAACCAAACCCGGGACTCATCAGTCAAACTGAGTCAAACTGGCTAGAGCAGCCCTGCATTTCTCATTTCCTTTTCCGTTACTTTTTTTTTTTTTTAGCTCTGCAATATTTAAATATAATTTTTTAAAGCATCAACATTTTACCAGGTTGATTACTCAATACTTAGTAGAGTGGCCATGATATATTAAGATATAGTTACATATTTACAATCAATCTATTACCTATGTAATCCATGTTTGCTTGCCTCAATAAAATAAAATAAAATAAAATAAAATAAAACCAAACCAGGCTCCTAGTGTTAGATGTACTGAATATCCACACTGGTGAGAAGTTCATTTTTTAAAGCCCCATGGACAGTCATGAGATACTCATGAAGCCATACAACATTGTCCTTAGTGGCCTAAGCCAACATCGACGGTCTGTGTGCAGTGTTCCATAAAGTGAATTACTGTATTATGACAAAATTCATCCCAGCTAAATGCGAGGGTTAATGAAAGTGACCAGAGCTCACACTAACTCCAAGTATCCAACGGATACTACACCATGAAGATCTGCACGTGTTTGAATACAGAATAGATGGGTGACCTCACTTGGTGGTGACCATCTGTTCTAAATCCTATAGTTAAAGAGTTGACAGGCTCAGCTAAGGGCTTACATAACAGGGAACTTTGAGGGAGAGAATTCTAGCAGAGAGATTGGACGTTAAGAGAGCCATTCTCTTATTATTATTTAGGGCAAAGTTCATACAACTAGATCCTGTTGCAAGTACAACAACTTAGAAACTAAGAAACCTTGTGTTATAGTCTTACTTATTCAGAACTTATTCTTTCACTTAGATCTATTTGTTTCCCCCACAATGGGTTATGATTATTAAATTGCACGAGTTGATATTCGATTTTATAATAACACAGGTGTATTAGATCCTTCAAAATATTACAAAATGAGATCTCTTTTCTCTTAAAAATCAATGATTTATAATAGAACTAAAATTTTTAAAAATCAGAAAAGGCAGCCTAACTACTACTTTATTTTACAGATAAACGAAGGCCCAAAGAGGTAATTACTTATCTCAGGCTACACAACAAGTTAGAACTTGACTTGAGCCTAGTTCTAACCATCTAGGCTGCTCTCTATACAACTGCTCTTCATTTTCAATATCCAGCAATGGATATTTGTAAATATCCCAAAATAAACTTAACAGAACTGTCTTCAGAGGGAACTTTGTTAAGTATATGATTAACCACTGTACCATACACCTGAAACTAATACAATATTAAATGTAAACTATAATTGAATTTAAAAAAAAAACAAAAACCAACCCCCTCCCCCCCCCCAAAATGTCTTCAAACCACATGCTTCATTTTTAGGATAGAGAAATAACTCATATTTTTACAAGATTGGTATTTTAAATCAAGTAACAGTAGGTGTGCTTTTGTAAAAAAAATGTTTTGTTCCCTCTGAGGTAAATTTATGAATAATTTCAAAATTATATTTCTCTTCCTAAGCATAAGCAATTCTGTACCCACAAGAAACTAGACATACAAACACTGCCTAGGAGGAGAGTTCTAAAGTCATCGCAAGTTAATTCACTCTTCCTCAAAATTGACACCTCTGCAGCACAAAATCCTTCCAATATTAGCCACTCTCCTCTCCCATTAAATCCTTATATATTTCTCTTCTGGTGTAGTGTGTGTGTGTGTGTGTGTGTGTGTGTGTGTGTGTG